CCAGATATTGGCTCCAGCTCTCTTTATTGATCCAGTAATGTCTGCGAATTTAACCAATGTGGATTTGTTTGATGCACAAGGATAGCTTAAGGATTATAGATACCTTACTGTATACCCGGTACTAGTTATTTGTGTAAGAGTAGTCTCCCTTTATTTACCAGGTTTTGGGGTAAGGGGCACATACCCTAATTTCAGTATACACTTTTTAAAATATGTGTATTTTTTTCAAGTATTTGGCCAAAAAACTGGAAGATTAATTCAAACAAATGTAAGTTATAGTCAAAAATCTAGGTACATGTAATGTGAAGGACTTAAGCTTTGATTTCCCATCCCATTATGATAAACTTTAGATAATGTGTCATATACCGATTTGTAAATTCACCCTGTGCTTATATATATATATATGATTAGGACTTCTTACCTTAAATTAGAGACAGGTCACTTAAGTATTCTTTTTCTCCTACCTACTAAACACATTTCACAAATATCAGGGCCCCTGCTTCTGGGGAAAAATATAATAATAGTGCTATATATACATAATGATAAACTTACTGTTTTACATATGTTAAAAAATACAAGTTTTTACTAGAGATTATGATATATTTATTCAATACATTTACTTTACAAGTGTATACTGTACAGGTACTGGTTCTTTCAGCACAGGGTGCATGGGTCAGTTTCTACTACACACGTATGTCAGATGATTGTACATACACAGGGTGCATGGGTCAGCTTCTACTACACACACGTATGTCAGATGAGTGTACATACACAGGGGGCATGGGTCAGTTTCTACTAAACACGTATGTCAGATGATTGTACATACACAGGGTGCATGGGTCAGTTTCTACTACACACACGTATACGTACAGTTGCACCTTAATTCACATTACACAACCAAGTCACGGCATCATCATTGATTAAATCCAATAAATAAATAATGAAGTTAAAAGAGTCCAATGATTTTATATTTGCTGTAAATGTAATGCCCTTCTGCTAAGAAAACTAGCAAAAGAATTTACTTTGAAATAATACAAATTAGTATTTCATTCCAATATGCATATATTTACCACTGTATGGTATTGCCACTATATATAACCCCAAGTTCAAGTGGCTTTCATATCTGTTATGAATGCCAAGACCCAGTTGTTGAGGTCATTATTGTGACAATGATAAGTGTATAGGTATATAGCTGTGTGTGCAGCACGTGTTTGGTATCTTGTTGGATTATATAGCAAGGTCATACCAGAATGTCAACACTGTAGGCCTTGTTACACTGCCCCATATCATAGGACACTGCCCCATATCATTGGACACTGCCTGGTTACAGACTCATGTTGTAAGATAAGATGTGCAAATGACCCTGAGACCTTAACGGTGGACAATATCTGATCGTGTTTAGACAGTCACGTTTCACTCACATTTTAACTCAAGTGCTGTTTTAATCATGCTCAATGGCAATTTCTAGGCTGACATTTGATTTGACATTATCAGGTTATCACAGCTATATAGGTCTTATCACTGGACGGTTATTTTTTGTGTGTAATTTCATGGGAACTGATCATGTGAACTTTGCAGCATGTAATTAATAATTATGGTACATGTACATATATGATGTAGGTAGTCTGAATTGAACCCTGTCAAAAGAATGCAATAGATTTCAGTAAATACATGTATGTACAGTCGAACCTCGTTATCTCGAACTTGTATAACTCGAAGACCCCGTTTAACTCGAAGTATCTCATCGGTCCCGGCCAAAACTCTTCTTAATCTTAGTAATAAAAACTCTGATAAATCGAACTCTGAAAACTCGAAAAACTTGGATATCCCGAAGTGAAACATCGGTCCCAACAACGTAAATCCTACATAAAAATATCTCCTACCTCGAAGTTTCTTAAGATTCACAAGTCTATCATATATTCTTTAATTATTTGGTACATATTTGACGCAGTGCTACGGTAAACATAGTTCTAAATGAGCAGCTTACGCGGTCATAATTACTTCGATTAAACTTTATGGCATTAAAATGTGTTTGACTGTAAAAATACTTTGTACAAATAAAGAAACAAACTTTCATCAAATGACAATATTGATTTACAACAATTAGTACCTGCTGCAGAGCCCTAAGGCACTTTTTCTAACCAGAAAATGGGTCACAGTGTGCGGTCATGCGTAAATAAGCTCCACAGTAAAAATCACAACCTAGGACTGGTTCGTTGGTTTATGTTTTTACAGGAGCTAGCTTGTATGGCACTGATAATTAATTGAGAAATAATAGGTACAATACGATAATTATTGTTGACTACGTCGTGTTGAGGAGATGTCAAGTGTCATTGGGGTCTATAAATGTGGATATTTTTCCTGATTAACTCATACCAATTTCGGAATGTCGAAATCAACTGAGCAATCCAACGTGTACGCTCCAATACAGTGATTTGTATAAAGACTTGCCCACTTTCATTTTCACATTGAAATTTCTATCAGCATAGCACCAGGTGGTCGGAGACAGAATGTGTGTTTATTGTAATATTAATTAATTAATGAATATGATAATGAATAAGTTGTTATTTTTTTAATTTTATATAGTTATCTTTTTGTCATTTATCGACTGTTCAAATACGTTGATTGTCAGAGAAATCAATGACATATATAGCCTCATGTTGGACCAAACACTTTACCAAGCTTTATGCCAACCATAGGAACTCGCTTAACTCAAATACTCGGATAACTCAATATTTCCCAACTATCCCGTCAACTTCGAGATAACGAGGTTCGACTGTATATATAAGTACAAACATTTCTGCGTGCTACCTAATTGCCTTATTTAATTTTTATTTTGACGCTAAAAACTTGGTTTCAAGTGCACTTTTTGGTGCACATGTAGTGAACAAGGTAGTGCACTAGATCTAAACAAAACATTGAAGTGCACTCCAGATCACTTCAGTGTTAACTCCAGTGCACTACAATGTTAACTCCAGTGCACTACAATGTTACCTCCAGTGCACTACGATGTTAACTCCAGTGCACTACAATGTTAACTCCAGTGTTCTACGATGTTAACTCCAGTGCACTACGATGTTAACTCCAGTGCACTACAATGTTAACTCCAGTGCACTACAATGTTAACTCCAGTGCACTACAATGTTAACTCCAGTGCACTACGATGTTAACTCCAGTGCACACCAATGTTAACTCCAGTGCACTACGATGTTAACTCCAGTGCACTACAATGTTAACTCTAGTGCACTACAATGTTAACTCCAGTGCACTACAGTGTTAACTCCAGTGCACTACAATGTTAACTCCAGTGCACTACGATGTTAACTCCAGATCACTACAATGTTAACTCCAGTGCCCAACATGTATGTACATGTATAATCCTAATTATTTCTCTGCAGTTTGTTTTTCTTTTTTTCGATACTTCATTTATCTTATTTGAACTTTGGAAGTAATGACAGAGTTATCTCTCTTTGTGATAACGATCTATAAGAAATTAAGCACATTCTGTTGAAACTATTCATATTTATTCTGTACTGTTGGTATCCACGGCCCTATGATCAGGAATGTGAGAGGAAGCTATAGCCTACGACATAAAGGTCTATTTTCTTTTATGCCAGATTGACTCTAGAGATTTGCAAGGTTTGAAAAATCAATTATAAAAAGACATAATTACAAATTTCCAATTATGACATTTTAATCCCATTTGTCATCAGGTCAAGATTGTTCATTAATTTGTAGAAGTTTATTTGTCATAAAACTGTTATTTTCAAAGCCAAACGACAATGAAACGTTATTTGTTTATTAAGGTTTCTTGTTATGAAACAATCTAATGATTGCAATATGATGTACATGTATACCTGTGGGGTAATTAGGTAAGATCTTTTCTCTTACCCTGGACAGGTGTATTCGCACATTTACTGGTGTGAGATTAAAAGAATCTCTTCTCTCACCCCCTTTGGTCATAATGTATTGTTGAAGTGACGTCATACCATTGCTAGGGTGAGACAAGGAAATCTCACACGGGTAAAAGTGCGGATACACCTGTCCATGGTAAGAGATTACCTTGTCTCACCCTAGGGTTGAGATGGAAGGATTCCCCTATTCATAACAATGGTTTGACGTCACTTCAACAATGCAATGACGTCACGTTAACAATCCATCAACGTCACGTCAACTCTGAATTTTAGCATGTAACATTATCATTACATTGTGTATATGATACACAAGCGGAGAACAGGGTAAGAGAAAAAGAATCATACACCCCCTTGTTGGTAAGATAGGGAAATCTCAACCCTCGGGGAAAGATTCTCAAGTTGCCAAACACTCGGCAAAGCCTCGTGTTTGGCAACTTAAGAATCTTCCCCCTCTGGTTGAGATTCCCCTATCTTATCCCCAAGGGGGTGAGAGATTCTATTTATCCACACTTCCAGTCATGGACAAATATTTCTGTCATATACGTATACCCTGGGGTAAAGATCAGGGAATTCCCCTTTTATAACCATGTATGATCATGACGTCACATCAACAATTCATTGACAAATTCACACCAACAATAGCAAATCACAGCAGATAACTCATTGAGTTTGCTGGAAAACTAGGCAATGAACACATAGGTGTTTCATTTAACCTGTCTACTCTTGTATTTGAGGTTGGAGAAAAAACAATCATTTTGCATTAATACATTTATAAGAAAGACAGAAAAATCTCCACCCTCAAGGTAAATTTCTGAAATGTCTGGCCCTCGACAAATCTTTGGCTAAGACATTTAAGAATCTTACTTCTTGGATGGAGATTTTGTGTCTTTCTCCCAAGGTGGGGAAAGATTATATTGATCTACATTTGGTCTTAATTTAAAGATGGATATGTTTATGAAACATGTGTTCAGGGAACTACAAAAAAAAGTGTTGATTTAAAAAAATAAAAACCTAGGTTAATGGTGTTGGTTATAAATATGTTGTGTATCTCGAAAATAAAGAAACCATCTTTTATTGTCATTGTAGGTTCAAAGACGGGAAATGAAGTGTCTTCGTATTTGTTCCTTCGCCATGAGCTACCTGTTAGGATGGCTAACATTATGATGGAGATCAGGCATCTTCCAAAAAATCTACAAATCATGCCCTCAGTCAGCCTTGTTAAAAGCTGGTAAGTTGCTGTAACCCAACCACACTCCCAAAAAATGGATCATTTTAGAAAGTTGATTGTCTTCCAGTTTCATGATTCTTCAAAATCATCCATTGCATTTATTTTCTGCCATCCTAAGGCTTGTACAAAGATGTTCTTTTATCCATATCCCTCACCTCCAACAAAGACTTACTGATCGTGTCCTCTACATCTGTATACCGGGTATATGTAATGTAATTATTTCTCCCCAAATCCAACATCAATTTCCTCATGTGTCAACTTCGTACAAGGCAATTAGGTAAGGTTATTGACCCCGCTCCCTACTCCCAAAGTGAGTGAAAAAGCACATGCCCTTCTACAAACTTAAACTAATCTGGTACAATGTAAATCTAACAGTGTATGTCCTTTTAAACTTGTATAACAGGGGTTTTCTATACCTTCCTAACAAAAGGTTTATCACAAAATAAAACTGTTAACACCAGTAATGCCAATAGGATTTGGAATCCAAATCCAACATCCCTGCAAATTTTTTCAGATTAATATATTTTATTGGAGGTAAGTTATGCAATCAAATTTTAGGACTGATCACAAAACCAAGACAGCTGACAGTCAACCATCTTGAATTAGATAGTTAAAGTTTGTTAGCTCCATTTCTCAGAACGTACCAGAGGGATGTTTCACAAATTTGATCTGTAGGTCCCCCTTAGTCCTTAGTGTTACATGTTAACTTTTGAGACTGATCAGAGGAACAAGATGACTGTCAGGCAAACTAATCAAACAGATAAGAGAAAAGAAGAGAAAAGATTGAACTGACTCATAGAACTATTTGAAGATGGTATGATGTCGGGCGCCAAGATCCCTCTGGGATCTCTTGTTAAGAAATGTTTAAAATCATTAAATTTTGAATTATCTGCTCCAGGTATGATCAGAGTTTTGAAGAGATATTAGACTTTGAAGACAAAAATGAAGCGGATGACAAGGTTCGATCAGAGTAAGTATCTGTATACCTGTAATCTCATATACCTTTAATTGCTTGTATATACCTGTACTATATTTACCTGTTCAGGTATACGTAATTCTTATAATCAGCCAGGCCAGTTCCAAGTACACAATCAATTTGAACATAGTATGGAGACATAAGAAGTGCGCCACAAATGTAATATACATCACTTATGTTTCATAACAAATTACTCATTTGTGAATGTACATGTATACATAGTAGATGATTTCAAACATTTAAATCAGATATTTCTGCGCATTTAATCAATGAAATTATGCCATTAAAATTTATTGCTCATTTTGCAATTATGAACAATTGGAAATATCTATTTAAAATGTATTTGGAAAGCGTAATTGGTATTAAAGTTGCATTTGAAAAACGTAACTGGTAATTAAACATTAACATATGTGATATTTAGAAAACTTGACTTAATATTCCATCATTCGCATCTTAAAAAGTTATTTTAATCAAATATTCAATTCAAAACATTGTGAGAATATTCATTTTGAAAGTGATAGTTGTTAAATAATATACTATTCTTGCTGAGCTCTCCTGTTTACATGTTATTTTGATCGTGAGACTTAGGCCTGCATACGTTCATGTGTCTAAGACCTAGACAAATTCAGTTCTTCAAAGTGCAAATACATGTATGATTGGACAAGAGTTTGACATATTTGGTTATATTCTATGGGAGCTCTGACTGAAGCAGTTATTGCGATCCCCAACCCTATGATTTCTTAGTTTTAATTCAAGGAATTCAGCTCTACTCTATGCGAGGTTTGAAAAATCAATTATAAAAAGACATAATTACAAATTTCCAATTATGACATTTTAATCCCATTTGTCATCAGGTTAAGATTGTTCATTAATTTGTGACAGTGAAACGTTATATGTTTATTAAGGTTTCCTGTAATGGAACGATCTATAATGATTGCAATATGTATACCTGTGGGGTAATTAGGTAAGATCTGTTACCTAATTATAAATACAAAAATGTAGTAGTTGCTGAAGTGAATATATTGTACAACTGGATAATTTAAATGCTTTTAAACATACCGGTACTACAGATCATGGGTGAAAGCCCAGGGGTTATATTCCTGAAAGCATTTCATGCTCAAAATCTAGTCCAGTTAAAAGATGAAAAGACTGAATATTTAATTCTAATTATTTGTAAACATGAAATAAAAAGGTATATTGTGAAACCTCAACACCACTGTTTTCTCAGTCACTAGGATGGGGCATGGTTTGTAAATATAAACATCAGCTTTGTTTGTTGTTTGTGTTATATCAGCTCGGTGACCATGAGGTTATCATTATAATCAGGCAAACTTTGTGTTATCTTCACAAATTAAGCAAGTGTTTAAATTCATGTAAGCTTGTGTTGTACATGTATTTATAGAACAGTATGTATAGATGAAACCTCGATTTGTAAATATGTCGCATTAAAACACTGGAGCTTTGTTGGTCCTGACTTTTCAATACTGTCTAGTGTTAGATATGTACAGTCCTATATAATAATGTACTTATAAACTTTTAAACGTGTCACTTTAAAACACTGGAACTATGTGGATCCAGACTTCAATACTGTAGATTATGTATACGTACAGCTGTGTGAACATTAATGTACAAATGATTTTGTGAATATTGACAATATGTTCCTGAAGACAAAAGTTTGCGTTTCTCCCAATATGTACAATCATGTATGCATATCATGTCTTAAAACTTTATGTCAATTCAATTTGCACTCAATATCTGATGCAAGCTTTTGAAGTTAATGTGAAATAAATGTGTATGAAAATCTACAGTTGTCAAGAAAACTTTTTTTCTAGACATGTAAAGTTAGTGATCATGATATACCAGTGTTCAGAAACAACACTCAGTAATTTCCTATTTAAGATGCTTTTTACAAGCATGAAGTATAGATACATGTATCACACTGTATGCAGCTTTATTTTTGTGATTGTTACAGTATATGCAATGTAAATCCAAATTTCAACATAACTGAACATTTTTCTGATCAAGTAACCCGACTCTGATGTGTTGATGTAAATTGTGTGCATTACATAAATCAAAGCTGGATACAGTGTATTAATGTGACAAAGCCTCCAGACACTCGCATTTGGGAACTAAATGACTTTCCTTTGGCAATTAAATATGTTAAAAAAAAAAAAAAAAAATCTTATCGTGAACCGTAATATACATTGCAGAGTCTCACAGTATTTTTAGCTCACCTGGCACAAAGTGCCAAGTGAGCTTATGCCGTGGCCCGGCGTCCGGCGTCCGTCCGTCGTCCGTCCGTCCGTCCGTCCGTCCGTCCGTC